AGCAATCGGTCTGGAACGCCACCTGGCGCAACTCGGCCCTGAACTTTGCTGGGAACTGCCTCGAGGACGGCTGTGACCTCCTCCTCCTCCTCCTCCTCCTCCTCCTCCTCCTCCTCCTCCTCCTCTTGCGCCGGAAGTTGTGCCGCCTCGGGCACAAGGCAAAGGCTGCGCCGTGGCGAGGGCTGCGGATGGCAATTGCAACGGGAGCCTACTGGACCCACTCGCGCTTTGATGACGCTGGGATTGAGGGCGATCCCGAGGAGCTCATTTGCCGCCGCTGCAGTCGACGATGCATCGACAATCGGTGCACAGGTATTAGAAATGCGAAGGCAACGACGGCATCGAGGCCTGCGAGGCGACGGCAGACCTGGAGGAAGCCGCGCGGCGAGAGGCAGCAAGTTGTCCATGCTTCTGGCTGCGCCGCCTCGTTCCCGCTGCCTGGACTGCAACGCCGCTGGTCAATGAAGAGCCACAGGCGCGGCAATGGGGTCGAGGACCCGACTTTGTCGCCGGCGACGGCAGGCAGTGGTGGGGCGGCGGCGATGGATCTGGCGGCGAGCATTCCAGCGACCCGCGGCTGCGACGCGCGGGATGGTCCTATGTCGTGCTCGCGGAGGGCGTGCGCCAACGCCCCAGGCCCGAAGACGCTGCGCCAGAGGCGCCCATGCGGGACCGCGGAGGCGGCATCCCAAGCAACTTCAAGGAGGTACAGACGTTCAACCGCCCGGAGCGGCGGGCGATGGTCTAGTAGGTCGAAGATTGCGGTGCTCCTCGGTGGGTGCTGCACTATGTCCTGGACTCGGCGTACGTGAAGCGTGGCTGGGGGCCAGGGCCAGCGCTGTGCTCGCCGCCGCCGCACTCACCGCGACCTTTGGTAGCGGATGGAGCGGGTTGTCGCCGAGCTCTCATGCGCGCGTGTCTTCCACAAGGTGGAACCGCATCTCACGGACGATGCGGCCGCGAAGAAGGGCTTCGACATGCTCTTCGTGCGCCTCGACCTGGATGCGGACCGCCTCGCAGAGCAGGCCGCCCAGAAGCGCGCCCACGGGGAGGCTGATGAGAGGGCGGTGCGGGATGTCGATGAACGGGCAGGCCCCCTGCGCACGAGGCTCGCCGCTGTCCTGCAGGCGGCAGGAAACGCCGACGGGAGGCAGCGGCGCGCACCCGCCGAGCGCGCCCCGCAATCGACTCCCTTCGAACCGGCGCTTCGCGGATCGCGGCACGATGTCCGGACCGTCAGAGGAGCAGCGCGGGGGCCTGGAGCGCTGCAGATGCGCTGCCGCTGCTACTGGTCGGAGGTGCGCGGCACGCGAGCTGCGTGCGCGATAGGATTGCGCACGGTCTGCGCGGGCCCGCCCGCGGCCCCTGCCGCGGCCTCGGCAGCCGCGCGGTGCCTCGCGGCCGAGCCGCGGCCCCCGGCAGCGCAGGTGCAGGTTGACAGACTCCTGGCGCCCCCGACGCGCGACCTGCGGGCGCACAGCCAATTGCCCCCTGTGGTTCTGCGCCCACTGCGGCTCCCGCACCGCGCGGGAGGGCGGCGCGCTCGCGGGAGTGGCTCGCCCCTGCCGCGAGGCTGGGGAACGATTCAGACGGGCGGGGCGCGAGGCCCTGGCCTGTCTCGGAAGAGGGCTGTGGCCTGGGACCTCCGCTGCAGCCCAAGAGTGGAATGCAGGACGCCTCGGCCGCGAAGACATGGGAAGGAGCGCAGGCGACGCCAGGGCGGCGCCTTGGCGGCGGCCGCGGCTGACTCCTCCTCCTCCTCCTCCTCCTCCTCCTCCTCCTCCTCCTCCTCCTGACTAGTTTGTCCACTCTGGCGGGAAATCATCATCATCATCATCATCATCATCATCAGCATCATCATCATCATCATCATCATCATCATCATCATCATCATCATCATCATCATCATCATCATCATCATCATCATCATCATCATCATCATCATCATCATCATCATCATCATCATCATCATCATCATCATCATCATCATCATCATCATCATCATCATCATCATCATCATCATCATCATCATCATCATCATCATCATCATCATCATCATCATCATCATCATCATCATCATCATCATCATCATCATCATCAGCAGCAGCAGCAGTAGCAGCAGCGACATCACCATCAGAATCATCGGCTATCATCAGCATCAGCATCATCATCAGCACAATCGTCATCATACCATCAACGTCATCATCAGCATCATAATAATCATCAGAATCATCACCATAAGTATCATCATCATCACCATCGTCTTCGTCATCATCATCGCCATCGTCATCGTCGTCATCAGCATCATCACCATCACCATCACCATCACCATCACCATCACCATCATCATCATCAGCATCATCAGCATCGTCATCATCATCAGCACCAGCTTCATCATCATCAGCATCAGCATCATCGGCGGCAGTATCGCCATCATCATTTTCATCAGCATCATGACAATCAACATCATCAGTATCGTCATCAGCATCATCATCCTTCGTCATCAGCATCATCATCATCATCATCATCGCCATCATCACCATACCAACACTGTCACCATCATCATCAGCATCATCACCATCGGCATCATCATCGCCAGCAGCACAGCAGCACAACAGCATCAGAAGAATCATCAACATCTTCATCTGCACCATCACCAGCATTAACAACATCAGCTGCATCATGAGCATCATCAGAATTAGCATTATCATCATCATCATCACCATCATCAGCATCCTCCTAACCCTCCTCGTCCTCCTCTTCATCATCATCGTCATGAGCATCAGCTTCTTCAACATCGACATCATCGTCATCAGCATCATCATCAACAACATCATCAGCAGCAGTGGCAACATAAGCGTCAGCATCATCGTCATTATCGTCATCATCATTAGCAGCAGCATCAGCATGATCAGCATCATCACCAGCATGAACATCATCATCAGATCCATCGTCATCGTCATTCTGATCATGGTCATCAACAGCAACACCATCACCATCGTCATCATCATAAGCCTCACCATGCTGATCATCATCGCCGCTGTCATTGTCGTCCTCATCAGTATCCTCACCATCATCCTCCTACTCAGCATCATCACCACAATCATGTCCATCATCATCAGCATCATCATCATCACAGGCGTCGTCATCATCATCATGCTAATCAGCATCATGCTAATCAGCATCATCGGCACATTCATCAGCAGCATCACCATGATAAGCCTCACCCTCATCACCCTCATCAGCATCATCACCATCATAGTCCGCAGTGTCATCAGTATCATCATCATTGCGATCATCATTCATCATCCTATCGATCTTCCGACTCCTCTTCCTCATCCGCTGCCTGGTTGCATCCTCCTCCTCCTCCTTCTCCTCCTCATCATCTTTCTCCTCCTCCTCCTCCTCGTCCTCCTCCTCCTCCTGCGCATCATCATCAGCAGCCCTCCTCCTCCTCCTCCTCCTCATCCTCAACATCCTTAGCATCGTCATCCTGATACTTAGCACTGTTATCATCCTCATCCTGATACTCCGCACCAGCATTACAAGCAAGCATCATCATCCTCATCAGCATCGTAATCACCATCATCATCATCATCAACAACATCATGATCAGCACCATCATCAGCATCATCAGCAGCATCATTGGCACATCATCCTCATCATCCGCATCAGCAGGATGACCATCATAACCATCGTTAACATCTTCATCATCACCGTCATCCTCATCCGCGTCATCATAATTATCAGCATCACCATCATCCTCAACATCGTAGCCATCATAATCGTCATCATCGTCATAAGCCTCATCATCACCACCATCACAACCACCACGACAACAACCACCACAACCATCATCAACAACAACGTCAACAATATCATCAGCATCAACATCGTCATCATCATCATCAACAACATCATCATCCGCTCATTCTTCCAACTCATCCTTCACCTCCTCCGCCTCCTTCCACTCATCCTCCTCCTCCTCCTCTCCTCCTCCTTTTCCCCTTCCTCCTCCTCCTTCATTCCTTCTCTGCATAAAAAACTTCTCCCTGTCGCACCTCGAGGCCAGTTTTTAGAGCGGGTCGGGCGTTTTGCCCGAGCCTTCCTCACCATGTATGACCCTGAAGCTTAAAACATAACAACAATTTCGAGGGCGGGTGGTTTTCAAAATGTGGCTCTCGCATTAGCGTCGAACACATCCGTTTTCAAAATTTGCCAGAAATTCACGGATTGAGGGCCACCCGTTTTCAAAATGTGGCTCTCGCCTTAGCGCCGCGCACATACATTCTAAATATTTGCAAGAGTTGCACGGATTCAGGGCGGTTCCTTTTCAAAATGTGACTCTCGCCTCAACACCGCGCACATTCGTTTTGATAACTTGCAGGAGTTTCACGGGTTCCCTTGAACAGCATAACAGAAATTGTGTTTTGGAGGGGTTCAGGATCATGAGGGTGCAACAGCTACGTTGGTTCGCAGACTGGACGTTCCAATAATGGCGTTCTGGCGCGATTCAGAATCGTCAAGACGCAACAATCAAACTGCTATGTGGCGTTGAAATCCCGCGAACAATGTTTTGGCATGCTTCCGCGTCTTCAAACGGTTGTGGACATGAACCCTTGCATGGGGCCTTTGAAGACGAGGCTTGGAGGGAGGGTTTATTCCAACATCGTTGATAACTCTTGGGCTTACACTGGTCCTCCTCCTCATCCTCCTCCTCCTTCGGCAGGGCCGCGAACGCATATGTGGTTCACTCCCAGGTATGCTCAGGTTGATTCCGAGCTTGGGCTTGACGGCTGACCCACCTGTCTGTTCCATCGGATGCTCATACACTGCTCTGCTGATCAAAACACTTCGCCTGCGTTTCTGCAACGGCATGGGCTGGTGGGGACACGCGAAGAGTCGAGCAGTTGGTGCTTCATCACCCAGAAATCGTCGACCCCTCCCCCCTGCCCTCGTGATCTGCCCTCGTCGTCGTCGTCGTCGCCAGCCTAAACCATCCCGCCTGCAGCAGGGGGGCATTGCCCCTCTCCCGTTCTGCCCAAGGTGGTGGGGGTGGGCAATCGGCCCGTCACAGCCCCCTCGAAGCCCAGCCAGCCCCTCCCCTCCAGGACTGGCCTTGGCCCGAGCCGTAGCTGGGCTCTCGGAGCCGGGCCGGCCCCTGCCCCCCACAGGACTGCCCTGGGCCCGAGCCGTCCCGGCTGCCCCCTCCCGCGCGGCGCCGCTGCGCGTGCGCAGCGCCCGGGGGGCGGCCCCGTGCCGCGCCCGCCCGAGCCGACGGCGCTCACGAGCGAGGCGGGGCGTGCCCGCAAACCGCGCGGCGGCCCTCTCGGCCCGGGCGGCGGCGCGCTCGTGCGGGGCTCAGCGGCACCTGCGCGCCAGCGCGCGGAAGCGCTCGGCCTGCGCGGCGAGGCCGTCCCTCTCGCACGCGGCGGCCAGGGCGGTGTTGGTGATCACGTCGGGCTGCAGGCCCTGCTCCTTGAGCCGGGCGAACACCTGCAGGGCCCGCTCGGCGGGCTCGCCCCCCTTCTCGCAGGCACTGATGCACGCGTTGTAGGTGATCAAGTTGGGCTGGGGCCCTCGGGCAAGCATCGTCTCAAGAACCTTCAGCGCCTCAAGAGGCTCCCTGCCCTTCTCGCACGCGCTGATCGTCGCGTTGCACGTGATCACGTCGGGCCTCAGGCCCGAGCGCTTCATGTCCTCCAGCAGCCTCAGCGCCCGCCGTGGCTGCGCGGCCTTCTCGCAGGCGCTGATCATGGCGTTGTAGGTGATGACGTCTGGAGCGATGCCCAGCGCCTTCATGGCCTCGAACGTCTCTAGCGCCTGCTTCAGGTCACCGCACTTCTCGCACGCGCTGATCACGGCGCTGCAGGTAATCACGTCTGGCTGGATCCCCTGCTCCTGCATGTCGTGGAAGAGGCTGACCGCCTTGTCCGCCATTCGGCCCTTTTCGCAAGCGCTGATCAACGCGCTGTACGTGATGACGCTAGGTGAGACCCCAGCGGAGGCCATGGACTTGAAGATCTCCAGGGCCATCGCTGGCTGGCCGCCCTTCTCGCACGCGCTAATCACTGCGTTGAACGTGATCACGTTGGGGGAGAGCTTCTCCTCCTGCATCTTCCCGAAGAGCTCCAGGGCCTTGTCGAGCTGCCTGCCCCTGGCGCACGCGCTAATCAGCGCGCTGTAGGTGACGACGTCCGGCTGGAGGCCCTGCGCCTGCATCAGGCCGAAGGCCTGGAACGCCCTCTCTGGCTGGCCGCCCTTCTCGCAGGCGCTGATGAGCGCGTTATAGGTGATGTTGTCCGGCACGACCCCCTTGCCGCGCATGGAGCGGAAGAGCTGCTGGGCGGTCTCTGGCCTCCTGCACTTCTCGCAGGCGCTGATGAGCGCGTTGTAGATCACCGTGCTGAGGGGCAGCTCCTCGCGCTGCATGCGCTGGAAGAGCTCCATGGCCTTGTCCAGCTGCTTGCCCCTCGCGCACGCGCTGATCAGCGCGCTGTAGGTGATGACGTCTGGCTTGAGGCCCTGCGCCTCCATCTCGGCCAGCTGGTCCAGTGCCCTGGCCCACTGCTTGCTCCTGCCAAACTCGGTGATCTTCTTCGTGTGCCAACGGATGCCGCTGGTGCCGCCGCCCCCCCCTACTGCCACAAAGGAAGCGGGTCCTGAGGGAAAAGTGTCCTTGGAGGCCTCGTGCACGGGGTCCGAGTAGATGGGGTCGGAGGATTGCACCGTATCGCCGATGCGTCGGCGATGCATCGGTGATGCATCGGCGACGTCGGCAATGCGTTGGCGACGCCGGCGCGGAAGAAGTCCAGCTCCACATCGGGCTGCAGCCCAGATGCAGCGGCGATGCGGCGCGATCCACCGACCCCTTCCACTGCGACCCCACCTGGCGGACCTACGAAGCCAAGACCCTGCCCCCCTCCCCTGGGATCGGCTCTTCGTCCCGGGTCGTTCTGATGGTCCCAGGGCCCTGGAGGCCCCCCGGCAGGGCTCGACCGAAACATTGCTGTTCGTTTTCGCTTACGTTTCGTCTTCCCTCGTTTGGTCTCCACCTCGCCTTGGCTGCACAACGAAGCCGAAACGACCCACGCAATCGCCAACAAAACACCGTGTGGGTCGACCCCTGCCCCCTGGGAGCCGAAAGCGGTGCAGATCATCTCAGGGCCCCCCCTTTCTCCCAGGACCCCTTCTTCGCGAGGCCACCTGGACGGCCCCGCGCCGCGCCCGGTGGGCCGCCGGCTCCCGGGGCGCCGGTCGGCGTGGCCCCGCGCCCCCCGTCCGCCCGAGCCGCGTCCGGCGAGGCGGTGCGTAGCGGCGCGCCGGCGCCGCGCGCGCCGGTCTGCACCCCCATGGGCGCCGCGGAGGACTGCGCCCGGATGGCGGCGGGCTCATCCACCACCTGTGCCGGGAGAGCGCCAACTTCGGGGAGCCTCGAGGGCGTGCTCCGCAGTGGGAAACTTCGACGCTTTCGGGCCTCCTGTGGTGCCCTCGTGGCCACGGTTCCTGAAGCGGTGAGTCCAAGAGGCCGACACTTGCGAGCCTGGAACCCCAGACCCCCAACGTCCTAACAACATCAGGACGGGCGTGTCTCACCATTCTCGGCGTCCAGGAGCAATTCTGGGGGCCCTGGGGGCCGTCAGAAGACGACGCAGAACGAATAAAAACAGTCTCCCGACGGGCCGAGAGCTCTGAGGACCGCGTGATGAAAGATCAAGACATCGGAGGTCTGGGACACCCGTCTTGGCAAGGACCAATCCTGGGCCCCAGGGTCAGTGTGGGTGCATGATTGGCGCCCCCCGAGCCTTGCGCGGCTTGCGCTCGAAGGGTGTTGCGCCTGCCATCCAGAAGCTGAACGTCAGCATGAGCGCTGCAATCCCCAGGCCGCAGCTGAGGATGACCATGTCGTCCGGCATGAGGGTCGCCGCCGCCACGACATACGCCGCGACGGAGTACTTCAGCACGTCGTTGCGGAAGGAGATCTTGGAGGCACTTGTGCTCGGAGCCATGTCGATGAACCGTAGTCGATGAGGAATGTACGCTGAGCTGCACCAAGCACTGGTGCGGTTGAAACCGTAGGCGGTATGTGGAGCAGTGCACTGAGAAACCGTAGGCGCGGATCACGATTGTCCGCGATCCCCAGAGGGAGAGACCTCACGTAAAGATCCGTTGAAGCGGGTCATGGCGTGCTTGGGAGGATAGACATGGGAGAGACGGGGAGGGGTAGGCGGAAAATTGCCTCTTGGAGGAGAGGAAGTGGAGGGAGGAGAGGAGAGGGTTGAGGCAGGCTGGGGGGGAGAGAGGGGAGGAAGGGGGAAATGGCAGGGACCCGTTGTCTCTCGCAGCCCACGCCCCCTGGAGCCAAAGCTGCTTGCGCAACCCGCACCGCACGAGCGAGCGAGGATCGGCGTGGCGCCGCGAGGCTTCTCGGATGGTCCGCCTCTGATGATTGCTTGGCACCCAAACGGCGAGGACGGCGCGCGCGCAACAGTCGCCTCGGCCCCAGGGGCGTCGCACTCCTCCCTCTCCCTGCTCCCTGCTTCCTCCGCCGTCTCCTCCCGACTCCTCATGCTCCCTCATATCAATATCCCCCTCCTCTCGCTCCTCCTCTTTCTCCTGCTCTTGTTGCTGCCGTGCCGCCTCGTCCTCTTCCTCCTCCTCCTCCTCCTCCTCCTCCTCCTCCTCCTCCTCCACCACTGCTCCCAATGCTCCTCCTCCAGTTCGTGCTGCCCCTCCGTTTCCCTGTGATCCTCCTGCTCCTCCCCCGCCTCTTGACTGTCCTCTGCGTCCTATGAGGATGCTGGTCAACCGCAACCAGCACCTGCCGACGGCTCCGTGGGAGGGCTCAAGCGAAGCAGCGCTGGAGCCCAGACCCTCAACAAACGAAGCACGGCGAAACAAGTTTAAACTGATAAACCTGCACGGCAGCTGAGGACGACCGAACCTTTCTGCTCCTTTCCCCCCCCCTCCTACCCGGGGTGCATCTGGGAGTTCGCCCGCAAGCAAGCCAGCACTGAAACAGTTAGCCAGACAGAAACTTTCTCCTCCTCCTCTTCCTCCTCCAAATCCTCCACCCCCCTATCATCCCCCCCCTCCTCATCCACATCCTCCTCCTCCTCCTCCTCCTCCTCCTTCTCCTCCTCCTCCTCCTCCTCCACCTACGTGGCAAGCACTTTCTGGGCACAGCCCGGCGGAAACGCCGGTGTTCTCGCTCACTTTCGACAAATGGGAGGTTCTGGCCTCTGGGACACATGCGGGGGTGGGTGGTTTAGATCAAACCCCACCCACGAGGCATGCGTCTCTTGGACACAGCCTGTTGTGTTCATTCGATTCGTCGGAGGCTTTAACCTCCGGGACACATTCTGGCGGCAATGCCGGCGGTCCTGTACACTGAAACCACGCACGAGGCATGCGTCTTTTGGACACAGCCCGTTATGTCCATTCGGTTCGTCGGAGTTTTTAAACCTCTGGGACATAGCCCGGCGGCAATGCCGGCGGTCGTGCGTACCGACCCCACTCACGAGGTATGCGTCTCTCCAACACAGCCTGTTGTTTTCACTCGATCCGTCGGAGGTTTCAACCTCCTCGGCATAGCTCAGCGGCAATGCCGGCGGTCCTGCACGCGTATACGACACAAGCGCTTACGGACACAGACTGGCGGTATTGCCAACGGTCTCGTCGTAAGGATATCAGCACTACACTGCAATCGTCCTCCTCTTCCTTACAGCTTACACCTGGTGGCTGGAGTGACAATCTGACGCAACCACCCCCCACCCCAGGGTCGGTCGACCCTGGGGGGGGGCGACCATACGAATAATTATCCTGTAAACCGGCGTGCTGACCCAACCGCTATCGTTTGGCTGGTTTTGCTGTGGTCCCTGGGGCACAGGGCTACCCCAACAGCCAACTCTCTCTAGCCATCTACATGGTCGCCGGCCGAGGGCCGAGCGACCTGAAATTCGAACGTACAACTCATGCAACGCGCACTCATAGATATATATATATATATATATATATATATAAGGCGCCAACAACGGAACCTCGTCTGGGCCGCGTGGCCGTTCGACCTCGGGAGGGAGGCTGCCCTGGACTCGGACGGGGTCATAACTGTGTACGTCCATTATCCTGGGCCCCCATCCAGGGAGCCAAGAAACGACCGTCTAGGTTGCCACAGGGTTTCTCAATACCGACCCGCTGGTGCAACCCTTGGGAGGCGGACGCCTATGCCTCGGACACCTCCGCGCAAATTCCGCCGGCATCCCATGAGGCATCACTTGAAGTCCGAACTATGTTTGCACGCCCCGTGGGGCGGACAAACCGCGCCCCCCATGGGGGCGCACCTTGGTGTTTGAAGTCGGTTTGGTGCATTCTGTCGGCACGAATGTTGACGCAGCGTGTTGAGAACGAACACGAGCTCGGTTTGCGTGGGCCGAGGGGGAGGCTCGCCAAGGGCAGGCCAAACCATCGGGGCTTTCTCGGACCCAACGGACCACCACTGTTTCCACTCGGCCTCGAGCGCTTCGATCGACTCGGTCGAAAAACAGGGTCGGAGGGTTGAGTGGTCGAGGGAGTCGGGTTGTCAACCACTGGGGAGGGAGGAGAACTTGAAAAGAGCAGACACCCCCCCGAAGAATGTTAGCCAACCCATTTGTTCCAATCCCTGTCCTTGGCGCTGGCAGCCTCGGCCCGCGCGCGCTCGGCCTCGGCGTCGGCAAGGCTGGCCGGCGCCTGCGCCGAGAGCAGCGGCACGAGGTCCACCTGTTGCAACACAGCCGCCCAAGCAGCGTAAGCCGCGCTGTCGGGCAGACGGTAAAAACCTCACAAACGATGAGAAGCAGACACAAGCTGCCTCCTGTGGGCACCCACAGAGCCACGGGCAAAGTCGGAGAACAAGACACTGACCTTGCGCCAACAGCACGCAAGGGGGGAAAGCCCGCGGAACATCGGGGGCCCAGGACACGGAGGTTTCTTGGAAGAAAGTCTAAGAGGCTTGTCCCGCCCGAAGTACTGGTCAGCTTGCTCCCCCGTAATCTGAGAAGCGTAAAGCCACTCAGCTTCCGCCGCACGGATAAACTCACTCCACATGGCCTGAACAGGCGCGGAGGGGTCAGCGACGAGGGCAACAGCGGGGCCCCACCGACCTTCAACAGGGGGCCCAACACAGCCCATGAGAAGCTCTTGGGGCAACCTTGTTGGCGACCTTTACGTAACTCACGTCACAAACGGGCTCAACAATCGGAAACGCGAGCCGAAAAGGGCAATGAGGTTAATGCAGCCCCGGCCCCACCTGCGATATCTCTAGACATGACGAAGTAATCGATGCAACGCATGGCTGGGCGACACGCGCCGCCATCAGGTGCAATGACTACGGCGTCCATCGCAACGACCCAGCCTGTCTTGATCAGGTCGGCGCGCGGGAGGTCCCAGTCGCCACCGACTACGAAGGGCGCGCCCGCACGCTTGAGCTGAGAAGCCACGCGGCACAGCATGTCCCAATTCACCTCATTCACGCCAACCGAATGGACCATGTAGAGATTGACAACAATGAAACCACCACGGACCATGCCACCGACGCGATGTAGGCACGCTCGCGCAGGCTGCAGCACATGGGGAAACCGATCCAGTGAGCCTAAGCCGATGCGCTTCGGAGTGGCGGCGAGGAGGCCCCCCGTCGGGTTGCCGAGTGCTGGCAGCGCAACCGTGAGAGATGCAGACCAGCCAATACTACGAAGTCGGGCCTCAGTCGGCTTAACCGAGGTCACGAGAATTCTGGTCTCTTGCACTAGCAGCACGTCAGAAGCAATGCGTTCGCACAGGTAGGCATCAAGGCCAGCCTGTCCACCAACATTGGCCGACATAATCGACCATACCTTGTCCTGCCGCATGCTAGGAGCAAGGTGTACATGGGTCCGAGGCCGAGCTCGGGCTGAGCAAGTGTGATGCGAAACTTCTTTTGAGTGGCGTCACTGATGCCGCCCATGATACTGTCTGCACGCTTGCGCGAGATGCCATGTTTGGAAAGGAAGGAGCCCAAACTCGTGTCCGCAGTGGGCTGCTTAAGGAAGCCTTTAAAAAACTCGCGCGGCGGGCGGGTCGCCAACGCCAGCAGCATGTCCCTTCCCGCCCCGTTCCCGTCCCGACGCCGAGCCCTTCCCCCCACAGGAGAGTGAGGCAGCAGGCGAGGCGCTGGCGGCAAAAGGCGACTCAGCGGGCGGGCCGCCGAACACAGCACGCGCGGCGGCGTCCACGTCACGCACATCTGCCGGAGGGGCGGCGACGATGGCAGCACCGGGGGGAGCATCGGCCATGGCAGCTCCATCGTTTCCGTCATCATCCCCTTCAGAATCATAGCCATCGGACTCAGGATCTTCAGGCGCGAGCAATGTGCCACGAGCCTCAAGCAAGGAACGCATCGACTTCGCCAACGTGGGATCGAGCGCCTGGAACTGCATGAGCAGGGGGAACGCAGGGTCGTCGGAGGACAACACTTTGCCGTCGCGGGAGGCGGCGACACCACACGAGGCGCACTGCGCCCAAGCCGCCGTGGCTTTGGCAGAGGCGACTCGCTCCTGCTCCTCCAGCGACTTCAAAAAAGAACGGAGCTTGACCAACTCCATGGCCTTGCTCTGCAGGTCAGACCCGGCCTTCTGGATCTGCTTGGACGTCTGGGAGACCTGACGCTTGAGATCGTCCAGCACGGCTTGGGCATGCTTCTGCACAACACGAGGATCACCAGCAGCCAAAGCACGGTCCGCCAAGATGCGAGCCCGCTGAGGCGGAGACAGCAGGCCCTTGCACGCGTCGAAGTCGTCGGTGGCCATGCGCACGAACCTGGACAGCTGATCGGGCTCGAGCAGCTTGTACTTCGGTTTCTGCTTGCCGGTGGGCGGACAGTTTGCCCAGGCAGCCTCTCGCGGCTGAGAGGCCGCAGGAGCAGGAGGGCGAGCAGTGCCGCACTTGTAGCAAAACTTCTTCCAAGAGAAATTCGTCTTGAAACAACACTTCTTCTTCGGACAACACAACACCTCATTGCGCGCCTCGCGCTCGCCCATGAATGTGATGCGTACGTGGAAAGGAAACCTGCAAGGCCAGGGCGGCTCAAGCAGGGATCGTGAGGGCACCAAAGGAAACAGTTCACTGCAAGCCACCTCGAGAAATGGATTACTTGAGCCAAAATGGAATGAGCCAAAATGGCTTCCTCCTCCTCCTCCACCTCCTCCTCCTCCTTCTCCTGTTCCTCATCCCCTCCTCATCTCCTCCTCCTCCTCCTCCTCCTCCTCCAACTCCTCCTCCTCCTCCTCCTCCTCCTCCTCCTCCTCCTCCTCCCACGCCTGGTGCCATCATCAATCTCCCCCTCTCCCTCCCTGTCCCACTTCCTCCTACCTCCTGCGTTCATGTCCGCCTGCCTCCTCCCTCTTCTCTCCTCCACCCGTTGTGCTCTCTCCACAACCCCCTTCTGATCACGATCGCGCCTGAATGATCCATCCTCTGGAACACCTACGTCAGAATAACGACAACCATCCTCATCGACATCAACATCAACTGCACCATCACTACTCATGACCAACCCCATGTAAGGCCATCATCGTCAGACTCGTCATCAGCACCTCGCTACACCACTGTCAGTGCTATCATCAGAAACCGTCAACCGCCCAGATTGGGATGACGGGAGAGGGAGGGAGAAGAGGAGGAGGAGGAGCCCATCGTAGCCATTGGACCCAAGACCTGTTTCAGTACACCCTGCACGATGTGCGTGTCTTTATACGGCGCGGCGCTCGACTCTGGCCCCAGACTCGGGCCTTCCTCGCCCACGGGACCTGGGATAGCCATGCGGACTCGGCACGGCGTGGCCCTCTGCGGCGTGGCGCAGGCCGCTGCCGAGCTCACGGGGCAGCTGGGAGGCCGTGCAGACGTCGACGGCGAGGCGATGGGCCAGCACCCCGGCGAGCTCGAGCGCTCGCCCGGGGACTCTGCCCACGCGCTCGGGCTGCCGCGAAAGGCCACGTCCGAAGACGTCAGGCTCGGCCTCGTCCACCAGGGCGTGGCGAGGCGCCCCGATAGCTGACGAGCAGTCCGCGAAGCGCTCGCTTATGCTCCAGGCAGGCTCGGCAACCGTGTGCTGGAGGCGCTGCGCAGGCAGGCGCGGGATGGCACTGCTACCCGAGGACCCTGACGGAGCCTAAGGGGGCCCGTAGCGGAGCGAGAGACACGACCGCGGAACGCACATTTCATTGAGGGGCCGTAACAGCATCCCTGGAATAGCACGTTCCTGCGCTCGCGACTCCGCTCAGCCCAGGCACGCTTAGCAGCGGCCGACGTCGTCGAATTGATCGACTCGTCGCGACTCCTGCCCTCGGCAACCGCGCGCAAAATGAGGCGCCCCCCTCATCAGGCCCCGCTGGTCTTCCTTGGGGGGGGGGGGGCTTCTCAGGGGTCTTGCCCCTTTTGAGCTTTGCCTGGGACGAGGTCCCCAGCTGCGACGGCGCCGCCGGTGCTTTCGCGCACCCCGCTGTCCGCTTGGCGTCCAGGCGCGATCGGGAGAAGGTCTTTTCCTTCACGCAATCGCCCTGCGCCGAGAGCCACCGAGGGTCTATCAGCGGAGAGAAGGGCAGCGTGAGCCCCCCTGTCCGCGCGTGGACAAGTCGCCTGCACAGGCGGCGCCTCCAGCCCCGCGAGGAACCAAGCGGCCTCTAGATAGCCGCGGTCCCCCGCCAGTTGGTCGATGTACGTGCACTGGCAACTCACTTAGGGTCTCCACCCTGTCCGCATCCCCGCTCTCAGACGCGCGCCACGGCCCCGCACTGAGCCACGCAAAATGCGCGAGGATGGATCTCGCGCGTCGCGGGGCGGGTCCCCGGCGGGCTATGCTCGCGTAGATACTGGAACATCGCCATGGGGGTGGTCGCAGACGGCTCCAGCCCCAGAGCACGAGCGAGGCTCGCCCTCAGAATGGACCACACCTCTGGCCCGTGCTGCACCAGCACTTGCTGCCATTCTCTGCGACGCGCGATGCCGCGCATCGAGGTTCGGGCAGCCCCTCCTTCGACCCCCGCGTGGGCTGCCGCGTGGACAGGGTCGCTGAGCGTTCCCAGCAGGGGATGCGTCGCCCCCGTCGGCGGTCCCGGCCGCTGGAAAGACCCCCGCAGGCACAGCAGCGCCAACTCCAAAGGAAACTCGGGGGCGCTGCTCGTGCGGGGCTCGTCTCCCGCGGCCCCCCCCCCAGACAACTCGCAGACCCCGTCGGGCCTGGACAGCTCCGGGGGCGCAGGGAGCGGCGGCTTGGGAACCCCCAAACCGGGTGGTGAGATACCAGGTGGCGACCTGGAATCCCCAAAAAGGTCACCGCTGGGTTTGGGGACGCGGGGTCACCACCGGGTTTTGTGACTCCTGGACCCCCCAGCGTTCGGGACATCCTCGGAAAACCGCACGAGTCCCCAAACCGGGTGGTGATACCAAATCGCCTGAGACTCACCGCCAGGTGTTGTCACCACCACGTTTGGGGACTACCAAGGCGGCGGGACCAAGGGTGGCGGGAGCGGAGAGCGTGCCCTCCCCTGCCTGCCCTTGCCCCAAAAGCCGACGCTGGCGGAGCTGCGCGGCTGTGAACCTGCTGCGCGGGGAGAGGGGACCGTGCGAGTACCGCATGCAGTCCTCCAGAGAGATGCCAACGCGCGCCGCCTCGTCGGCGAACAACTGCGCCTCGAAGCGGGCTCCCCGTGGATCGGCACGAACCCCAAGGGTGGGCCGCTCCTGCAGCCATCAAACGTTGGATCTCCAGCTGGACCTCCGCTCGAATCATCGGCGCCCCCTCGTTGAGAGCCGCAGCAGTGGCCACTCCCGCCGGAGGACGGGTCATGACAGTCCAAGGCCTCGGCTGCGCGCCCAAACGGCTTCGAGCCGACATCGGAGGCACCTCCGGCGGCGGCGGGCCCCCCACCGGGAGGGGAGGGAGGTCCTCGGCCTCTGCGTCGCCCTCTGGGCCGCAGACTGATACGGGGTAGCCCTCTCGGCGACTGGAGCGGCCTCGTGCCCCTCGGCGGGCGCTGCACCGTCGATGGCCACGTAGCCTTTCCGAAAGGCGCAGGCCCCCGTAGGTTGCGGTCAATACGCACGGCCGCGGCGAGCTGGGCGAGCCCGTCGATGTTTCCCTCGTCCACAGGGATGAAAGCCTCGAGGTCCATCTCCGAGACCTCTGAGTCGACCACCAGCACGGAAGCGGTCGCGTCGTGCGCAACGGGCGAGATGCCGCGCCCAGCAGTGACAAGTTGACCACTTGAAAGAGTCCCACTAGCCCTGTGTAGCTTTCCGCCTCCGCCAGACCGAGACTGCCGGCGGATCGCAAGGACCCAGGCAACGCCAGCGAGATGCCTCCAGGCAGAGCGGCCAGGGGGCGTCGCGGCGCAGCTCACCTCACCTCGCCCAACCGCCAGCGCAGCGGCCAGGGGGATCGGGCGGCTGCCTCCCCCGGGGGAGGAGGAGGAGGAGGAGGAGGAGGAGGAGGAGGAGGAGGAGGAGGAAGAGGAGGAGGAGGTGGCTGACGGCGGAGTGAACGGGTGGAGGTCGGGCCACACAGGCCCGCCGAGGATGGCAGGCAGAGCGGCGGGCGGGCCCGGCGAAGGGGCCAACGCGCGCTCCTCAGCCCGCGCTCCTGGGACGTGGGCCAGGGCGCGCTGCGCGGCGCGACCGCGCCCACCAAGGGTTCCGATCGCAGCTCGCGCGCGGGAGGTGGCCACCGGCCCCCACCGAGGGGCCGCGGGCTCTCCGGTGCAGCAGCCCCCGTGGCCCCAAGAAGGGCCACAATCGGGGATGGACAGACCCCCCTTTAGTAAAACGTGGTTTAGTGAAAACGACCTGAGGCCCAAACCTGGCGGGCGCAAGCCTGGAAAATAACGGCCACGGCGCCCTCTCGAGAACCGAAAACGGACAATCCACTAATCGACGTGTCACTGATGGGGGTTCTGTCCACCCCCGACACAGCCGTGGAGAGCAGCACGAGGGTAACCCCGCTGATTAGATCCACCGCCAGCCCCAGGCTCGCGGTGGGGCAGGCCGCGCCCCAGGCAGCAAGGGGGCAGTGCCCCCCGCCGCGAGGGTCGGCCCGGGCGGACCACGACGCCCCCGCGGAGGGGGCGCCGAGGTCCGCGAGCGGTGGAAGAGGCTGGCCCACGAGCCGCTCGTGGAGAGCGGCTCGGAGGCCTCGGAAGAGCACATCGCCCGCCCCCGCGATGGCTGCCTGGGCGAGCGCACGCACAAGGCAAGGCGCCCGCCGAGGGGGGGGGGGGCACGAGGAGGACTCTGGAGGAAAACAGCTGCGACGCCCGCGAGGCGCAAGGAGACGGGAGAATCAGAGGGGGCACACAGATGCAGCAAGAGGAGGAAGAGCAAGAGGAGGCGGAAGGAGGAGGCTCGTAAGGAGCAAGAAAAGCAGGAGGAAGCGGAAAAGAGACCAAAAACGACCAAGCCCTTCCCTGAGGCTGGCCTTTCGTCGCCGGTCCTTTTTTGACGGCCCCTGGGCTCAAGCCTCCAGAAGCTGAGAAATGTCAAAAACGGCCGGCTGCGATATGTTCGCGACGCGGGATGGTCTAGGGAACGACGACGGGACCTGCCACGAAAGAAACGGGTCCTGAGGGAAACGGGCTTGGACGCTGGGGCTTCCCATGGGACTGAACTCTCGCCCTGAGCCTTTTTGACAGCCCCAGGGCCTGGGAAAAGCCAAGAGAGGCCTAAAATGGTGGAACAAACACTCACGACGCCTTCTCATATGGCGAGGAACCGTTCAGATGATGAGCATAAAGAAACTAACTTGAACATCTGGAGATTCGTTCGGATGTCTCGAAGTCGGCGCTGGACCCTCTCCCCACTCTGATGGCGCCCGGGGCGCCGCCCCTGACGCGATGCGCGGGCCGGGGAAGGCATGGGAGGGAGGGAGCTCCAGCGCCGACCCGAGGCATCCGCGCGGACCTCCGGCAGCCGATGCCCAGTCTTCCCAGCTTTTTCGCCCACGCTGCCGCACAGTGCCCGATGGGGCTGGGGACGCTGCCTAGGGCTCGGGGCCGACGCTCACTCTCCTTGGCGCTCGGCGCTCTCGCGCCCACTTGGCGATGCGCCTGGCGGAAGGGACGCGGGGACAGTTCCAGCCGCCGCAGGCCATCACGATCGAAGAGTTGGAAGCAAGACACTCAGGCGCCCAAAGTTCGGAAGAGCAACAGGTGCATGGACGTAAACTTTAGAGGTCCGAGCAAACGTCTAGGGTCGACGCTGAACCCCCTTCCTCACACCCCTTACCCGGCGCACGGAGCGATCCTGGGACGGCGCCAGAGGCGCTGCCAGGAGTAGGGAACAGTAGCGCACCGACCCGAGAAATCAAGACGAACGTCTCGAATTTGGTGTTTGTGTGTTTGATGTCTCTAGACAATAATAGAAATCGAACCATGCAAAAACCAGTCGGGGCCCGAGTGTACAGCCCGCAGCAAGTGGCACCCAGCGAAACTGGCTAATTAACGATGGGCCGATAAAGCAAAGAGACCTTTGGAAAACCATCTAATCCTGCTCATGGACGGCGGCTGTAAATCCGCCGACCCCGCGTGAGTGAGAGGAAGTTTCGGACCAATCGTCTGGAACGGTCCTGGGAAATGATCTCTCGCTTTCATGATATTCGCGCTTCCATTCCAGGACAACACCTCCTGAAGGCCCTCTTTGGCTCGCTCGTCAACTCGAGGTGAATCGAGCCAGTTCGCAGTCGTGGTCGTAATCGAGTCGAAAGAAAAACCCCTTCGATCCCTTCCCCGCCCAGGTGTGGGCCCGAGGCGGGGGTCCTGGAATACGGTCTCCCCCCCCTCCCCCATGGGTCGCCTTGGAGGAAATTCGGCCGAGATTATCCAAGAGGGGCCTCAAATTGCCAAAGAGCGCTCCAAGACGGCCCAAGATGCCCTCAAGACGGCCCCCAAAAAAACGGAGAATCTACAAGATGGCTCCAAGATCGCCCGCAAGAGAGCCCAAAGACAGACAAATCCTTGATTTTCCGTCGGATTCGAAAAGGTTTCAGCATTCTGGTTGGATTTAGAGTGAGTTCAGCATTCTCGTTATTGGGGCTTCCGACGCCCCACGACGGCCCCAAGACGGCCCCAATGATTGCCCCAAGACTGTCCAAGACACCCCCAAGAGGGCCCCATGGCCCCCGAAACGGCCCAAGAGCCAAGAGGGCCTCAAGACGTCCCCAAGAGGGTCTCAGTAAGGGGAACCCGAATATACTTTCCGAGCCCTCCGCCCCTAAAGACGACCCTTGGCAGCCAGCAGGTGCCAAAGAGGCACCCAAGAGGCCCCAAAGAGGCCCCAAGAGTCCCTCACGAGGTCCGGAGAGGCTTCAAAATTGCCTCTGAGAGGCCCCCGAAATTCCTGCCAGGAGATCCCGATGAGAAAATCATTTGAGTCGCCGGGACCCGGCCGGGGGCCCGGGGCAGGGCCCTGAGGGCCCGGGGCCCCAGGCCCGGGTCCGAGGCTCGAGGCTGGAGATGGGGGCCCAGGGCCCGGGGCCCCGGGCCCGAGGCCCCAGAGGGTGCTGCGCACGAGGAGGGGCACGTCTGGTATCCAAGGAACTTGTAACATCAGCTCGGGCAGGGGCTCGCCTAGCAGAAGGTGCTGCGCAGCAGAAGGGTCCAGTGCAGGGGGAGGGGCACGTCCAACACAAAATGGATGGTGAAACGGTCAGCTTGGGGAGGGCCATTGTCAAATAAATCGACCTGGTGCAGGATGCAGGGCACGACTAGCACCAAGGATTTGGGTGAATCAGCTTGGGGAGGGACCTTGCCTAGCTGACGTTACTGCGCAGCAGAGGGGCCCTGGCAAGGGGGAGGGGCACCTTGTCAAATCCGCCTCACGTCCTGTACCCAATCCTCTAAGCCTCAATCCTCACTCCTGAGGGGTCTTTGAGGGGCCCCCGGACCCCCAAGTTCTTTAATTTTCTTAGACTTGTCGCGATTCCCCGCAGCTTGGTCTCCCTTTTTCCTCGTCTTGCTATTCGGGAGCCCTCATCGCTATGACCCGACGTGGCTCGAAGAACAAGCCAACATCGGCCCTAGAAAGGGTCGGCAGAAGTTTTGAACGAATTTTGGTCGGGTGACGCCAACTGTCCAGCAATGTCAATCCTGGCCCGGACCAGCCTGGTCCCTGATCCCAAGGCTGGGGCGGATTGGCCGTCTTGGGTTTAGCTGGGAAGGGCTACGCACCGATCCTGAGCCCAGAATGGGTTTGGCCAGGATCGATGTTGGCATCCCACGAAAGAAGTTCAACACCAGAAACTTGTCCGCGAAGACTGCGACAAGCGAGAGGCCCCCAGAGGGGGAGGGGGGGAGTCAAAGATGCCCATACTGACCAGCAGTAACAGCGGAGCACGACGCGCACGCTCGGTAAACCATGCGCGGACATGGTACTGTCGATTTTGTAGTTGCGCGTGCATACGTTATCAGACACGACGATACATACTGGCCTCCAACTAGCACGTCACTGCCGCCAAAGCCATACCCACCTCAGTCAGCAAGCTTGTCACATGCAACGTCAGAACGGACCTTAAAATGTCCCTGAAGCCTCCCACACACGAATCAACACAATGACCCACGCTGCGAATCATCACGCGACGGGCAGCAAGTATTCGCCCATGCGTAGATTCGCAAATGTGGGCCGCAATCGCGCGGAGGTAATTTTCAGCCAAGGTGCCGCAACCAAAAACGATGTCGAAATGCCCAGAAAGCAAACCGCTAGCCCCCCATCCCCTTGGAACGCCATCGAAGCCCCTGGGAAGGCGCGACACTCCTAATACCTGTTCATCCTCCTGTTTCGTTTCCGAGCAGCTTGGAAAGTGCGCGTGCGGGGAGACATGCATGGCGGAGCGACGAGGAAAGGGTTAATTCGTGCATAGACCTACCTGAAGAGGACGCCGTTGATGCATCAACGCCCCTCTGGCTCGTCAAGGAAGCGGAAGCAAGAAAGAATAATGGCTTCTGTCACAGACCAGCCGCAGACGTTTCCAAGGTCAGTGGGCTTCCAGGCGGCCAGCTGGAGCGTCACCTTGGTGGGGCCTCTGGCCTTTTTTGGCCCGTTCGCGAGTGTCCTTGGCATCTTCCCGATCAACTTTGGCAACGACATCATCTGGCAACCCATTGAAAGTAGCCATGACTGTACAACGGAACATGTCCGGCGTTTCTTCAAAATTGGTCGCAAGTCGCACGCGAATGTGGAACAATTGCATGAATGCCGGACAACGTGTTGTATCAATGAGACCCCGAGCGCGTCGCCGCGCACTACGCACTGAGAAAGCATGGGTGGTAGTTTCTGCCCGGAACTGCATGTGTACGAACACAGCACACACATGACACGACAACATGTTTTTCGCCTCCGCCTGCTGCCTCCTCCTTTTCCTCTTCCTCTTCCTCCTTTTCCTCCTCATCCTCCCCCTCCTCCCGTTCCTCCTCCTCCTATTCCTCGTCCTCGTCCTCCTTTTCCTCCTCCTTCTCCTCATTCTTCCGTAGACGAGCGCGCTCAGCGCGCTCCACCACTCACGAAGAAACTACGCGCAAATGACATGGATCCGCAGAAGGAGGAGGATCTATGGCCCACTCCATCGGGCCAAGCATGTGCTCCCGGACGTTTGCGAATAGGCACCCTGCGAATGCTCAGGAAAACGCGTTCTGTGATCCCTGCCTCCTCCCTCCCCGCCCCTCCGCGGGGAGAGCCTCCGCAGCTCTGGCATCCGCCGGCAGTCCGCCAACGAAAGCGGCGCCCCAGTCAGGGGGCAGCTGCCCGAACTGGCGCCAGCGAAGGCCTCACGCACCGCCGCCGCCGCCGCCACCCACAGTCGCCCTCGCCGCCGCCGACGTGGCCGGCGTCGTCGTCTCAGCCGCCGCCGCCGAAACTGCCTTGCTGGCATTCGTCGCCGTCGAACAGAAGGGGGCCGTCGAACGGGGGAGGACGAGGAGGAGGAGGAGTTTGCTTGCTTATTTGTTTGTTTGCTTGCTTGTTTTCTCACGGCCGTTGGACTGTGATGAACCAAAAAGTACTTTCCCCATTAAAAAACAATTATTTTTGTTTCCGACGAACAGCTGCCACGGGACATCATTGCCAGAAGAGCCGAATGACCGAGACGCACCGACGGGGCCAAGCGGGAGCCCAAAGAGGGGGACGGAGGAGGGCCAGGGCCGAGCGACGAAGGGCGAGGAGAGAGGCGAGCAAGGGGGGCCAGACTCAGACCATTGAAAACCACATGAAGTTCGTCCGCCGCCCACACCCATTAACTGTTTCACGCGTGCCAGGCGCGCACGGCTGCGCTGCCCAAGCTCGACTGCTCAGGCGCAGCGCACGCACGAACGTCAACTCCAATCACTCACTCAGATTCGCTCGAGGTAACCGAGACCACTACATGATTTCCCTCAAACTTGAGCACAGGGAAGCTGGACACGGCGGGCTCGGTCTGTCCAGCTGCGCTTTCGGCACGTCGATCCAAGCCGATATATCCTCCCCAAGTACCCCGACGGGGCCACCCCCTGGGTGGCCGCGACCCCCTGTCGCCCTGAATCTGAATAAAATCAGCCCCTCCTGGGCCTTGTCCTCCCAGGCCAGCGAAATTGATCGCATCCTCGTCTTTGCGCGACTCCAGGCGGCAGGGCCTCACGTAGTCCGGGCGTTCGTCCTTGAGAGCTTTCCTCATCGCCCCCAAGCCTTACCCGCTCGCCACGCCCACCTCCCTGGCGGAGAGGTTCTCCACCGCGGCGGCAATGGCCGCTGGCGTCGGAGGCCCAAAGCATGCAACTGCACGAGAATGTCCTCCGCGTCCTGCGCGGCCTTCTTCTCCGCAGTCGGGCCCGCGCCCTTGGCCCTCTTCGCTTCCGGGATCTGGGCTGGCACGACGAAGCCGACCGACGTTCGGATTTTACTCATTCCCGCGCCAGCGTCCACCAGCGCCAACTGCAAGGGCAGAGCGAGCGCGTCGCCTGGGCACGGGTAGCGCAGGGCGAGGAGCAACCAGCGACGTGGATCTGCCAACCTGCGCCAGCGCGAGCACTATGGGCCCCTAAAAGAAGCGGGCGTGGGGAACGCGCCGCGGAGCTGCGCGCGCCGGCATGCACGGGCCGGCTTCAACGTGGAAGGGCGCGCCGCGTTGCGCGCGATGCACCGCCCGACGCGCCGCGAACGCGCCATGTGCCTCGCCGCCTCCCCCCCCGTCTGGAAGATAGCACTGCGCATGATAGATGCGCTGACTGGCGTGGGGGTCTAAGAATGTCGATATGATTCGACCCGGTTGACACGCGCACGCCTTGCTGCGCGCGCGGGGCGGCTTGCCGATTCGCACGAGTGAAGACGACGGCATCTAGATTGCCCCAAGTCTGATCACCATCCTGGGCCGCAGGCACAGTCGGCGCCAGCGAAGGTGGCGGGGCCTGCTGCGCTGCAGAACAAGGCGTGCGCCAGCGAAACGGGCTCGAAGAAGCGAAGGGGCAATTCACCTCCTCGCCCCACTGACGGCCCCGCACCGCTCCGCTCCTCCATGCCTCGGCTAAGGGCCCCGCCTCTGGGCAGCTGCGCATGGCCTTGAGGTCGCGTCGCAGCTGGCGCGCCCAGGGGAGGGCGAACGCGTCTGCGTTCATGATGGTGTTTCTAGCAGCGTCGGCGGACAGCGATATTCGCATGGAGCCCCCAACTGCGCGTCGCCGAAACATCGAAACCGCCCGGGCGCGGTCGCGAGGTGCTCGCGCCACAGCCAGCCGCTAGCGCACCCTCTGGACTGCGGCCCCAATCGAAGGGGGGGCACGGTGCCAGCACCTGTGCACTTCGCGCGCCGCCATCGCCCAGACGCGGACCACGCTCGCGCGACCTCCCATCATCGACCTCTCGACTTGCGAGCAAAGGGCCCGCTCAGCTGCCGCTTTTCACGGTCCGCCCAAGAAGACGCCACTACACCCGACGGCGCCGATCCACTAACCAGCGCGACGAATCAACCTCTTGACTCGGGAAAGTGAAACAGGGAAACACGCGCCGCGCACCATCACCTACCCTCTGCTAACGGCAGTGAGCCTGGCCTGCAGCTCGTTCGAATTGCCGTTCATCGCGTCGCGCTCCAGCTCGGATCCACTTCTGCGCCCGCTGTCGCAGAGAGCTCGGATGGATCGGCGCGCCAATTGTCGGGGCGAGAAAGCTGGCGCCGCGCCCTGCTTCGACCTGTTCTGTCCGCGCCCCCTCGCCGCCAGCGCCCGATCCAAGCCGATGCCGCCCCGCCTCGAGGCCGCCGCGACCTCCTGGGCACTCGGGGCCTGATCGAGCAACCGAACCTTGAAAATGTCGCCCACGGAGCAGCCCGGCGACGGCTCAATCGCCGAGCGCCTGCCCGTCCGAAAGAGCATGGCGCCTCGGCGTGCGCATTATTCGACCGAACCCCACCTCTGAAACGCAATGCGGTAGTTCTGCGAGAATATCCCAGGCCCCGACGCGTCGCCCGCGACCCCCCCGGTCGGCTCCGAACTGCCATCTCGCCGCCAGCTGATGGGGCAATCGCAGTCAGAGCGAGTCTGCGCTGCAGAAAAGTTCCTGTCGCAGCAAAAGACGCGCCCGCGCCCTCCGCCCCCTCGTCAGCATCCAACCGTTCGCGCGCGCCCTGCTCGAGGTCCAGCTCGCGCCCGCGCCCCGAAGCACTGGTTGCGCCATCGGACACGCGGGCTACGGCCTCGCCCGAGCGCCCGGCGAGATGTTCGCGGGCCCGACCTCGAGCGGCGAAGGCCCGCCGCGGCGGGCGAAAAAAAGCCGCCGCGGAGCAAGCCCCCGCGAACCGCCGCCCCCGCGAACCACCGCACGCCAACGAGGGCGCGTCACGGGCGCGAGCCCCCCGCCCGTCGCCCCCACACCTGCCCTTCTCGTCTGGCGCCGACCCGCGCGAGAGGGGGGCCTGGATGGGCAGGCGGCGCAGTCGGCGACGGTGCAAGGCCAGGCGGGAGCGCCCGCGTCGCACCCCCCCCCCCCCACGTTGCTCAAGATGTCGGAGCTGCAAACGAGCACAGGAATCAGGATGGCGAGAGTCCTCTTCAGGTACAACCTCCGGTCGAGCCCCCAGCCCCCGCGGTTTCTCCGCGCGCGGCCGCTAGCTGCTCAACAAAGCTGGGCAAGCTGCAATTTTTGGAATCTCCGACGGCGCCGACCGCGAGGGGGCAAACTTGCCGATCTTCTTTTTGACGCAGGGCCTTGATCGTCATCTCGAAGTCCCCCGCGCCCCTCTTCATAGTCTCCTCGCTGTTTCCATTGATATATCTATACGACCATCCTACTGGTAAAAAGGAAGTCCGGGGGAACCAACGTCTCACTCGATCGGTCTCACTATCGATCTCACGATCGATCTCACGATCGGTCTCGCTCGATCGATCTCACAAACGATCTCTCTCGATCTATTTCATTCGACCGGTCCCACAATCGATCTGGCTACTGATCTCACAGTCGATCTCACGATCGATGCCACTATCGATCTCACAATCGATCTTACATCCGGTCTCACGATCGATCTCACTATCGATTTCACAACCAATATCGCAATCAACGTCATCATCATCAACATCATCGTCATCAACGTCATCAACATCATCATCACCACCGGGACACCATCATCATCAGCACCATCACCATCATCATCAACATCATCATCAGCACCACCATCCTCATCATCATCGGGACACCATCACCGTCACCATCATCATCATCAACATGACTATGGGGGCACCATCATCATCATCATCATCGGAACACCACCATCCTCATCATATCATGATCACCACGAATAACATCATCAACGCCATCATATTCTCGGGACACCATCATTATCATCATCATAAGGATCATCATCATCAACGTCATCATCATCACCATCAGCATCGCCATCTTCATCATCAGCATCACCATCATCACCCCGGGGACACCATCATCATCACCACCAGCATCAGCATCCTCATCAACATCATCGACATCATCATCATCATCACCATCGGGACACCGACGAGACACTGGCGGGGCACCAGCGGGACATCGCGGGCCACCGGCCCCCGGGAAGGAATCACTTGGTCCGGCCGCGCCTCAGCCGGAGGCGGGGCACCGGCGGGGCACCGCGGGCCACCAGCCACCGGAAAGGAATGATTTGGCCCAGCCGCGCCTCAGCCAGAGGACACTTTCTTCTCGCCCGCCCGCGCAGCATCGCCTCGCCCGCGCGCACGGCACGTGCGAACACGAAACCGAAACCGATTTCCCGGTAGGGGGGCTCTCCGTTCCACTTCGATCCCACCCCCTCACCTCCGACATGGGCTCGCGCACTCGGCGGCGCCGCTCAGGTCGGCCAGGCGCTCCTCGGACTTGTCGCGGCAGAATCGAATCGGCACAGCTACGCATCTGACAGGTCACTCTCCAGGAGCGCCCGGCCCATGAGCCCCCCCCCCAAGCACGCGTCGCAGGGTGGCAGGTCGCAAGCGAGCGATAAGCCCCGATCGTCGCAACACCTTCCGCTCGAGCAAATGAGCGAGCCAGCCGGGGAACCGTGGCCATATCATGTATCCTCCACGCTTGTCCCAGTTCGCCTGCGGTAGAAACTTGGCGCCCCCTGCCCCTCCGTCGTCGCCAACTAGTGCGCGCCCGCGGGCAGTTCCGAACGGCGTCGCCAAGCTTCTCCGCGCCCGAGCGAAAACCCCCCGCTGCTTCCCCCACTTCCGCTGCCGAGACCTGGGGCAACAAGGCCCTGTGTTCCTTCGACAACTGCCATCTTCGCTCGCCCAGCTTGCGCTCGCACTCAATCCTCGCCGC